TGATCCATTGAAATGTCAAAGATGTTGCTTCATTTTAACCATGCAATTTCTGAGATGATTCCTAAGCTGGTTACTTATCGATGAAAACCAAGAAAATTCATCACAAGTACAACGAAGAATGTAGAAAGAGCCATTATAAATAGCAGTGAGCAAGGGGGAGGATAACACATTCAAATTAGGAAGGAAGAACATATAAAAAGATAACTGAAAAATACCGAAAGAAAGATCGAGTCATCATGGCAGATGAGGAGGTAAAGAATCCTAAGAAGGGGGTGAACCCTGACGGAGCAGAGATCAATGATGAAAAAAGAGCAGCTGGTTCCAAAGCCAAGAGAGTCAGCCATAGTTCTCTTCCCCCGAAAAAGAGAATGGCGAAGGAGATCATGGCGGCTGAAAAAGGTGGTGAATCTGGTTCCAAGGCTGTCAAAGATGATGATCATCAAAAATCAACTTGAACGGGGTTTTTGTTATTTTACTTTTCCCCTAAAGGATGTCTTTTGCTCTTTTCACTCAATTTGTACTTTTTAAAGATTCTTGACTATGGCCCTCTACAAGTTTTGATGGTAGTTACTAATTATACCTTGCAATTATGAGGTAAGATAAAAATATTTATTTACTACAAACAAATGCATACACTAAATAAGTGCATGAAAAAAAAAACAACAATTGTTTCTTGATTTTTAAGATTTTGAGTATTAAAAATCTAATTCATGAATTGCACTTACAATGGTACAGGCTCTTATCCGAAAGATTTGCTGATGGTACAAGTGCCATTTTTAATCCCACTCAGCTAGCATAAATTTTGAACGCAGAAAATGCAAAAAATACAAATGCTCCAATGATATTACAAAATCCAGTTTTACAAAATTAGGTTCCACGTAACTGCAAAAGCGCCAAACTTGAGCTACCTGATACTTTCGCTAGACCTGATTTAGAGTTGTCTCTATTTTGTGTTTTCATTGGATGTGGGGTCTCTCAAGTTGAACTTTTGTCCAAACTAGTCTAACTATGTAATTTTTACAAAATTTAGTATAAACTAATGCAACTTTATATAACGTGAATTTGTCAAGTGATACAATTAAATTGGTAAAAAAAAAAAATCATGATCATGTCAAAAGTTGGAAAAATTACATTTAACTAAACTGGATAGAAATCAACTTGAAAGACCCCGATCCATTTCTAGAGAGTTAGGAGTAGGGTGGCGTGGTTAGAGAATGGGTTCCTTTTAATTAAGGAAACGTTCTTCTGCATAATTTTATCCTTACATTGCAAAAGGAATGAGCCCACTATACATTTAAAATATTATCATACACCTCCTGAATTGAGAAAAGCTTTAGTGAAAGTACAGACTAGAAGAAATTTTTTTTTTTTTTTTGGTCTGACGGAGGGAGTATCCGGGTCATCGCATAAACCGGATCCGACTAATCCTCCATCGACCCGAGAGGAGAGGCCCCATCCCTCCAAACACGATAATCATGGAATTCAAACCCTTGCGAGAATAAACAACGACTGCCTTAGAAGGCGTGCCGTGATCAATCGAGCTATCCATGAGGGACAGACTAAAAGAAACTTCTAGTCTTTGCTTCCATTACTGTTCAAAAGACAAAAAAAAATAAAAAATCACGTTGGAAATTAGCAGTAATAGTCTTTCAATTTTCACAAAACCAGGCCCTGCTATAACTACTCAACGTCGAGGAAATTCAATCCCTTTTCTCTTTGGGCTTTAAATTGGATTAGACTTCAGGAGGAGCCCACCAAACATTGGCCCATTATCTCTTCAATAAATTAAATCATTTAAGGGAGCCAAATTTTCCTCAATTGAGAATTGATTGGCTTTAATTAAGAAGAAAAATACGTAATTAATCTGATAAATTGAGACTTTCAAACTGATACATAGGGCAATATATACTTGGTTCAGTATACCATTTCAGGGGGAAGAACTCACTTGGACATTCGAATCCACGAATAGAAGCCAAGTCCAGTTCTAAACACGTTTCCTCCAACTCCATAGCCCTTTTGGAAAGTACCAGGATCTGAATGCATGTTTTGACTAAGCAAATCTTATATACACCGATAATGTATATATTATTATTACTAAAATCATAACAAATGTGCAAATATTGGATTATAAATTCAAATTTTGCATAGTTATCATCATCCAAAACTGATAGTGTGTATATTATCAGTTTAAGAAAGATTAATTCTAAAGTTATAAACTATTCTTAGTCATTAAAATTCTCAAATTTATCATTATCCTATCTCTTATTCTTATGTTTTAGAATAAGAACACGTATAGAAGCCAAGTCCAGTTCTAAACACGTTTCCTCCAACTCCATAGCCCTTTTGGAAAGTACCAAGATTGGTATAGATGTTTTGACTAAACAAATCTTATATACACTTACAATATATCCTTATACTATATAAGAACGAGTTTAAAACTAGATTTCAATCGCATGGGTGAGGCTATTTTGGGAATGTGAGAGTGTTTGAAGAGTAATTGGAACATTGAGTACAAGTCATTATAGCTTTAATTTCACTATAATTACTTATATAACCTTTCAGACATTTAAGATTAGAGATAGGTTTGGTATGTGATAATGCTTGGTGTCAAGTTGACTATCAAGTACAACTGAATAAAGCTTGTATTTTGATAGAATTACATAAAAGTCCTTTTAATCATTTATTATACTAACATCCAAGCCTTCCAATTTCCTGAAACCTTTCTCATCCGTTAAGGAATTAATAGGATGTTTACATAATTTGATTTTAATTAAAATTAATTAACTTAGTTATTATCTGAACAATCATTATCATATTTATGTCCCCCATGTTTAGCCGATACCCTTTCTTCTTTTTCGGTTTCACCTCTTTGATTTTATTATGGCTATTAAATATTTGGTGGAATGCATAACTTTTCTTTTAAATTGAGATGAGTTCTTTGAGTTTATCTTCTTCGATCGTAGTTTTTTTTGGGTTTGTTTTCTTCGATTGTAAATTTTTTTTTCTGATGATTGGTTTATTCAAGAACTCCATATAGTTTGCCTTTTGATACTTCTAATTCCAAAAATTGACTAATTATATTGTTTTTCTTAGTAGATTCCCAAGATTCTGTCTCTGGTCAAAATACAATTTGAGATAATGTTGTCACTTTCTAAAATAATCAGAAAAGTAATTTTATCATCTTCTCCTCCTTAGCCATGGTATTATCTCTTTATTTAAGTCAAATAACCTTATTTCTCATGAACTTTCTTCTATTATTCTTGACTCCAAGGATCTGTTGACTACATTTCAGCAGTTATGATTCAAGTAGTTATTTTTTCATGTAATATGATTTGGAATTTAGCTTGTGTTTATTTTAATTGGGAATGTTATGATTGTAAACTTTATTAACTTAGAATTTTGTACTTCATTGAAACTAAAACAGAAAATTAATCATGCTACATAGTACTAAGATGTCATTTGTACTCTATTTGCTTTCCATGTTATGATCTCGTTCTTGTATTATATTGTTTATATAGTTTCAAATACAAAAAATTTACTTTTTTATGCTCTGTAAAAGAATTTGTAGTGAAACTTGATGAGTTTAAATGCTTTAGCTACAGCACCATTTTGATTACATTGTATTAATTTATTTACTCATAATTGTATGTTGTACAATGATAAATAATGTTTCTTGATTTAATTGAAGCAACTATTATCCATAGTTCAAACGAGTCAATTAAGTAGAGATGTTATATTGGATACTTATACAAGTAAACATTGGAAAATATCATTAAGCAGTTTCTACCTATAGTTTGCAATTCGAATTCATATGAGGAATTTCTTCTGATTTTACTTACCATTTTCTACAATTTCAAATTTAGAAAATATTATTTGCACCAATTTTTTATAATCAAGATAGTTTCAATTCAGATCTTTAACAATTATGTAGATTTGAACTTATGTATGAAATTATAAAGAAATGCCCCTAGCAAAAAACACCAAATCTGAATAGTTTCTACAAAACTTTGAAAAAGACCACTTAAGTTTCTTATCTATCTATCTTTTTTGGGCATTATTATCTCTGTAAGAAACATGTAATTAAGTCGTATTATACCCACCAAATTATATAAATAGTTAGTAAACAATAAAATTATTTTAGATTAGATTGGACGCAAAGTGATTGATGGATAAACTTGACTTGATAATTCAGGTTGAGCTTAAGTCGAGGGAGAAATCAGAAGCATTGCTTGAGGGATCTTTCACGAACATATATAGATTCGAGAGATGAAGGGTCCAATTGATACTTTAAAATATTTTATCATCTTGGATAAGTTTTAGAAGAGACCTTTGGATACTTTTCCGTAGCACTTCAAACATTCTTACATTTTCAAACTACCCTTATCTTTGCAGTTGAAATTCAAACATAACCTTTTATCACAACAGATTCTTATATAGTATAACGATAGTGATGTCTTATTGCACATTATTTTTATTGACTCACTGTGTAACTTATGATTTTTTTTATTAAAATTACATGATAAAATCATCATATTTCAGTTCCTATACTACAAAATATTAAACAATAATTATTAATTATTTTGAATCACAAGCACCAAATTCCCGCGTGTCGCATGGGCTATCCCTCCCTAGTATACTATTATTACTGAAACATAAGCAAGGGTTAGAAAATATACAGATCAAATTTCTCAATTATCAAAAATCAATCAAGTCGTCTGATTTACAAAATGAAAAAACAGTACAATCATTAACAAATAAATAAAAACAGTGTTATTTTATAATAAAGAAAGAATAGCAAGTTTCAATGCCTCAACAATCAAGAAAACAAATAGTGTATTAACTTTTTCCTAACCCTTTTAGTCGCCTTTTTCTAGTATGGACAAAAAAAACCTTCTTCTTTTTTTTCATAATCACTTTTTTTTTTTTTTTTTACCAAACGATAACAAATTTTTATAGATATTAACACTTGATATTACAAGAGTTAATTACAAAAAGGGTAACTACCCCATATCCTTACTAGCTAACTGTGATAGCCATATTGGAAATGAATCTTTCCATTCAAAATTTTGAACCGACCTAACTGCAAACTGAGCCAGTGCATGACTACAAATATTCACGGTTCTGGGAACAAAAGAGAACAGGCAGCTATCAAAGCTATTCTTTAGGGCCTCAATGTCTTCAAGGATTGTTTGAATTTTACAATCCTGAACATTGTCCGGGTTAATAGAGCTAACAATATTCTTGCAGTCAGATTGGACTTCTATTTTTGTCCATCCTGCAAGCTGAGTCATCTCCAATGCGCTTCTGATGGCCAGTGATTCCTCTGTGGCCGCCTCGCTTCTTCTTCTTCCTATGATCCCTTGAGCTTTCACAATCTGCCCATGCCAATTCCTTGCGATGATTCCCAATCCGGTCCTGACCATTATAGCTGAAATTGCTGCATCCGTGTTAATTCTCATAATACCTTCCTTGGGTGGCTCCCAATGCTGCGGAACGTGTACCTCCATTTCTGGTGAAGCATGTGTTTGGTGGTCTGTTTCATTAGCCGCAATATATTCCAGCCACTCCAGTTGAGCTTTGTCGACAATAGCTTTTGCATCCACGTTCTCCATCTGGAACACCATTTTGTTCCTAGCTTTCCATAGCTGCCAAAGGACATTTACCGTGAGTTGGATGCGTTCAGCTCCATTCGCTTCCCCTGCTGAATCTACCACTGCCTCCCACCATCTCCACATATTGCATTGTAGCTTCACTAATCCTTCCCACCTCACAGGCGCTAGCCTCCAGACTAGTTGGGCTTTGGGACAGAAAAAAAAAAATGTGATCGATTGTTTCGGTACCTTCCCCACAGCCATGACACCAGACACTTCCTTTTCCAATTCTGTGATGGATTGCATCATTCGTGGCGAGCCCATTTTGTAGACATCTCCAAAGGAAATGCTTCAGCTTCAACTTAATATTCCACTCCATAGTTTTTTCCACACTTCCCTTTTTTTTCGTAATCACTTAATGTTATGAGGTACTTTAGCTTTAACACACGTTGCTGTCCTTGCATTACTACGAGTACAGAAGTAATATAACTAATAGTATTCCTTTTAAGTGGGACAAGCATGAATACCGCAACGGATCTTCTGTCCCGCACCCTGTGCCACTCTCTGTCCCACTTTTTATTATATTGCTATTTCTCTTTCACAAACATCATGTTTTAATTTTTTTTTGTTTCCTTAAGATCCAATAACTATTAATTGAGTAATACACAAAATTTAACAAACTCAAAAAATCAAAATGCATAAAAAATGAGATCTAGTTCAGAATATTCAAATCTCTGATTATGGCTTCGATTCCCAGAGGCACTTGGCTACTAGTTTGTAAATAAGAAATATTACAAAAGGGAGTTTTTTTTTTAAATCTTTTTTTGGTTCTGATTAGAGCATCTCCAACGGTGGTGTAATATCTGACATTGCAATGGATTATTACACGGCCACCCCATTGTGGGCGCGTAATACCCATTAATGCGTGTAATGGGTGGCCCCCATTACAAAATTTAAGAGCCGAACAAAATTTTGGCCAGCAACTTCGATCAGCTTCATTTTTTGCAGCGGTAAATTTGTAACTAATTTATTTATTTGATTTAAATTATGTATTATTATGTTATGGAGTTCAACTAATTACATTCCAAATTATTAATTAACTATGGATTATTATGATATCTTCGCATTTGAGATATCAAATATTTGTTTAATTTTTTGCATAATTATTTTTCAAAAAATAACAATATATTATTTTTGAGAGATAGAAAAAGATATATTGTTCAAACTTAAAAATAAATAATATCATTTTTAGAAAATAAAAATTTCAAAAGGTAAAAAATTTAATGAAAGTTAATACTTTATTTTTTAAAAATAACAAAATTATTTTTAAAAATTACTTTATTTATTTATGGGATATGAGTTATGTATTATTAAAATAAATATTTGATTTAATTGTGAATCCATACTATTACACCTTATGGAATGTAATCCATTGTAAGTAGAAGTGTAATAAAAGAGAAGAAAATGGAATACTGACGTGGCTTGTGAATTACATTCTAAAGAGTGTAAATCATTGTGATGCCCTTAGAAATTGAAATTTAAAGTGCATTGAAATAACTCGCATATTTTGGATGCGTAAGACATAAATGTCAGTTCTTGTCGACTTGTCCGAATGTCTGCGTAAAAGACAGCTGCAATGAAATTATTCATGTCGTAGTCAAAAAGAGTCAAAATGATGAACAACAAAAGAAGGGTTCATCAGCTAATTGGTTGATTGGATTTTGGTTCGGTCAGACTTCATAATTTTATCATTATTATTTTCTTAAAGCTCTCTCTTTTTTTTTTTTTTTGCTATAAGTCCAGCAAAACAAGCGACCAAAGGAAAAAATTGTCATATAAAAGGCAAATGCATGTTTTTTTAAGCTTGCTGACCACATTCATTTTCTTTTTTTTTTCCTTTTTTTTTTATCAATCATCATATCCTACTTTTATTCTTATTCTAACATATATTAAGAAAAGACCCAAATGAATCGAAAAAAATTAGAAGAAGAAGATTCTTTTTTTTCATTATTAAAACTTGACTTGAATTTGCACTTATCTAATGCGAGGACTCTTGAACTCGCATTTGCTTAATGCAATGCGATGATCCATCGGCATTCGGCAGAAATCAACTCTAAAACCTCCCAATTTGTAGAGTAATTTTAAAACTTATTACAAGGTTGGGAATTTCTCAAAATAAGGGAAGGGGTGTTGGGAGGTGTGAACGGGAACTGTTGACAGTTTTTGCATGAGCACTGGTAACATTGGTCGTGTCCTCAGGTCCTCCTCAAGTCGAGTCTAGTCCAGCTGGAGAGGCAACGTTGGTCGAGTCTAGTCCAGCTGGTTTTCTGAGATTCAATTCGTAGATAAGTCTTGCTGTTGACTTCATAACACTATCAAAAGTCAAAACAGCATGCAGTTGAATTTTTAACTTTGTCAAAATAGCCAATAGTCAAAGACCCAAAAAAAAAAATTTCCTAGAGTTGGTCACAAATCGTTCGTCCTGTCTAGTCTAGAACTCTAGATGGTTTTCTAAGACAAGTTTTTTAAGAGTTTCCTAGTTACATGATTAAGCTCACAACTCCAATGAAATTGAGTAGGAAATGGATCATACATGCCATAATTAAAAGCTTATTTTTCATATTAAAAAATTCAAGCATCAATCAGAAACTAAGCCATCATCATTTGAATAGTTCGTAGTCGGGAGTCGCGGTCTAAATAACATAAAAAAGAACGATTTAAAAAGTTATTTAAGTCAACTCCAACTTGATTTGGATGTTTTGATCGATTTCATGCATCACAGATTCGAATAGACTAATATCGACCGAATCAGAACGAATAATCACGAATATGAAATTATTGACGATTTGAAAATCGATATTGTATCGGTTCTCTCCATTCCAATTATGATTCGGTTGAGTCATGTCAGAATTGGTTGAGATGGCTAACCATAATTTATTCAGCCTCAAGAAAAAAGAGGGGAGATAGTAATTAATTCTCGTGTATAGACTTGAAGAAACTCAAGAATTCTGCTCGGATACAAATGCCGAAAAACACCTAAAATACTAGGGCAACACTCTTTTACTGTTTCCTATAAGGACTAAAACCATCGATACAAGTTGATAACATCAGGTTACGCGCACTCATGATCACCAACATAGCCAATGATTTGAACGTACAATTCAATGACATACAAACATTTTTTTTTTAATTGAAAGGATACTTTATTGAAACTGAGATAAAACCTGAGTACAAACCACGGAGGAAGGCTACTACCTTACCTCTGGAACGAAAAGCGGAAGTTACAAAAATTCTGCATATCTAGAGCCAATAACCCTCTAGTACGGCCTGGAAGTTGAGCTACCGTAGAGAAAACTTCAAAGCAACCACACGCAGTGGCATAAGATGCTAGTTAGTCTGCCACTGAATTCCCCTCTCTATAACAGTGAGACAACCGATAACCCTCAGGGGCAATCTCTCGAATAGCCTGAACGATAGGTTGAATGACAGCAGGAACACCCCAGCACCCCGTAAACAACTGATCAAGATAAGGCAGTCAGACTCCACAATTAATTGGGAGATCCCCCTCTGACGCTCCAATAAAAGAGCAAGCGCCTCCGCTTGCAAGGCATTCACAGGACGAAAAACATCAGAAAACGCCAGAATAAGCCTACAAACATTGAAAGCCACCATCAGCTCATAATCATTTAGTCACTACCTCCATCTGGTTTGATCTTGACCTTGGTCTTGATATTTTTTACAGCAGAAGAAATAGCTTCACTAATCTTTTCTCCCATCATCTGGGACACATGCTTCCTCTCTTTAGGAAATATGCTTCCAAGCTTCTTCGTCGATGATGATCCGGTGCTTGCCTCTCCTCCTTCAACCTTGACTTTCGTTCCCTTGTCCAACATCTTAAAGTTTCTGAAAGGTTTGTGTTGTTCTTCAAAAGAATGAGTTGATGGTTCTTTTATATATAGCGCATGGAAAAGATTGAAATGAGGGTTTTATTCAAAAGAATCAAGGTGCTGTTTCTGAAGCTGAAAGTTTTGTGTTGTGTCTCAAAAGATTAAATGATGGTTTTATTTATACTGCATGACGAAGCGGCAAAGAATGAAATGAGGGTTATTTTAAAACAGCTCCTAAGCGTGTGTAGTGAAGTGACACTCGTTTTAGTTTACTAATCAATCTTTAGTTCCTTTTTTTTTTTTTTTTTGCTTCGTGGAGATAATTGCTTAATAGCCTTTGAGAGTTTAAGTCACCTTGTCCATGTAAATTCACGTGCGTGTGACTCGGTAATGTACTCCCATTTGAGATCCTAGACAGCAAAGCAATCATTTTCTTTTGTGGTCCTTTTTGTCTAAGTGGTGGCATCTGTATTATCGTGTGGTGTAGGGAAGGACAAGCTGATAAGAGAAAATTCCCACGATAAAGACAATCTACTACCAGAGCTCAACACTTTAATGTAGTTTCAGACAATATTGTGGGCCTTCGTAAACTCTCTCCTCCTTCTCCTCTATTTGCTCACCTTAACTTTCTTATGTTACATGTTGGTTTTGGAATGAAATTTTTGGAATGAAATTTTGCTGGTTCTACGTCCCTCTCACAAAGTAGAGGAAAACTTGTTTAATCCTGAAAAAACGTTTCAATACCATGAAATAGTTTCTTAGGACAGCGTCTTTAAGCACGATTCAAGTGTTCAAGTGTTAGCATTATTCTGGCCATTTATACTATATTTTCCACTTTACATAAAATCATTGAGAGATTATATGATTATTTTGAAAATTTAGAAAGTCATTTGGTGCTATATAAAATCACAAGGGTTATAAGTAATTTATCTATTAATTTATGATGTGGTACAACCTATTTAAAGGTTCGTGCACCGTTCCTGCTCATGTCCCTCTCCATATCAATATCATTCGTCAAGAACTTTAGGGTCGAGCAGCGCGTCACGTTTTTTGTGATCGCTAGGGTCGCTTCATCTTCCCATTCTTTTTCCTTTCTACTGAAATTTAGGTGAACGACAACTGTTAAGAAATTGATTAGCAATTCTACTTTTGACCAATGTCGGCATTACACTGTTTTCATCCTCCATAAAGCCGTAGCAAGTGATGGGAAATTGAAGAAATGGGCTCTCCGGTGGTGTCCTAACGATTAGACGAAAC